GCGTCGGCGGCGGCTGGCGGCGGCGGCGGGGACGACGACTTCCTTTTCTGGGTCGGCGGCGGCGCCTGCGGCGGCGGGCGGCGGCGGCGGGAACCGTCGACGAGGACGACGGCGACGACGATGACGACGACGACAACGCTCCGCCACTGTGCCTTGGTTTTGGGTCAGAGTCCTAATGAGTGCTTCTTGGGGTCTCGTCGGAGGGCTTCCGGGGGCCTCGGAAGGGCATTTGTGCAGCTCCTGGTCACCTCTTGGGCGTCGCTTGGGGCCTGTCTGAGGTGGTGGTGGTGGTGGTGGGCTGTGGTGGCGGTGGTGGTGGTGTGGTTGGTGGTGGTGGTTGTTGTGGTAGTTGTGGTGGCAGGTTGTGGTGGTGGTGATGGTGGTTGGTGGTGGTGGTGGTTCGCTAGTTTCTGGTGGTGGTGGTGATGGTTGTGGCGGTGGTGGGTTAAGGTTTGTGGTGGCGGTTGCGGTGGTGGTGTGGTGGTTTGTCGTGGTGGTTGTGGTGGTGGTAGTGGTTGTGGTGGTGGTGGTGGGTTGTGGTGGTGGTGGTGGTTGTGGCGGTGGTGGGTTAAGGTGGCGGTGGTGGTGGTGGTTTATCGTGGTGGTTGTGGTGGTGGTAGTGGTTGTGGTGGTGGTGGTGGGTCGCGGTGGTGGTGGTGGTGGCGGTGGTGGTGGTTGTGGTGGTGGTGGTGGTGGTTTTTTGCGGTGGTGGTGGTTGGTGATGGTGGTTGGTGGTGGTGGTGGTGGTGGTCGTGGTGGTGGTCGTGTGGTGGTTTGTTATCGGTGGTGGTGGTGGGCTGTGGTGGTGGTGGTGGTGGTGGTGGTGGTGGTTGTGGCGGTGGTGGTTGGTGGCCTTGGTGGTGGTTGTGGTGTGGTGGTTGGTGGTGGTGGCGGTGGTGGTTGTTGTGTTGGTTGTGGTGGCAGGTTGTGGTGGTTGTGGTCTGGTGGCGGTGGTGGTGGTGGTGCGGTGATTTCTGGTGGTGGTGGTGATGGTAGTTGTGGTGGTGGTGGTGGGTCAAGGTGGTGGTGGTGGTGGCGGTGGTGGTGTGGTGGTTTGTCGTGGTGGTTGTGGTGGTGGTAGTGGTTGTGGTGGTGGTTGTTGTGGTTGTGGTGGTGGTTTGTTGTGGGGGTGGTGGTTGTGGTGGTGGGTGGTGCTGGTGGTGGTGGTGGTGGTCGTGGTGGTGGTGGTGGTGTGGTGGTTTGTGGTGGTTTTGGTGGTGGTGGTGGGTTGTGGTTGTGGTGGTGGTGGTGCTTGTGGTTCTTGTGATGGTGGTGGTGGTGGTGGTGGTGTTGGTGAGGTGGTTTGTTGTGGTGGTAGTGGTTGTGGTGGTGGTAGTGGTTGTGGTGGTGGTTGGTGGTGGTGCTGGTGGTGGTTTGGTGGTGGTTTGTGGTGTTGGTGGCAGTTTGTTCTGGTGGTGGTGATGGTGGCTGTGGTGGTGGTGGTGGTGGTTGTGGTGTGGTGGTTTGTGGTTTTGGTGTCGGTGGTGGTGGTGGCGGTAGTTTGTGGAGGCGGTGGTGGTGGTGGTTTGGTAGTGGTTGCGGTGGTGGTGGTGGCGTGGTGGTTTGTGGTGGTGGTGTGGTGGTTGGTGGTGGTGGTGGTGATGGTGGTTGTGGCGGCGGTGGCGTAGTGGTGTGGTCGATTATGGTGGTGGTGGTGGTGGTGGTGGTGGTGGCGGGTTGTTGTTGTTGTTGTTGTTGTTGTTGTTGTTGTTGTTGTTGTTGTTGTTGTTGTTGTTGTTGTTGTTGTTGAACATTATTACTTCTAAAGAATAATTATTGTTGGGGCCCCTGGTGCACGGCCCCCCCGCCGCGCCTAGGCCGCAGCCATGTTTTCATCATTTTCGTGAGGAAGTCTCCGGCAAAACGGGTTGGTCCGGATCCGGTTGTTTTGTTCCCCCCCGCTTTCCCTTGCAAAAAATAAGCTAAAGTGGACATTTCTTGTTCTAACATAACCAAGCTTCAAGAATCCCTTGCAAAAAATAAGGTAAAGTGGACATTCGCGCGCGCAAGACGAAATCCTTCCAAAACCTTAGTTTTCGTAGCGATTTTAACATCAAAACATTAAAAAAAAATACAATGGTACAAAAAAAAAACTTGTCAAAATTTCATCCCGCGCGCTCTTGCGGATTCGTAGGAAACCCAACACTTTTTAAACATTTCTGTCAAACGGGCTTTTGCGAACAACTTTTTCGAACTTCTGCAACAACGGTTGCGCACCTGCCAGGGCCATCATCCCTGTCAAATAATACCATGCGGGACACATTCGTTTTTTCTTCGCGCGCGCACGCCGTCGTCGTCGGCCGCGGGGCCCTGAATAGTAGCCACGGTCGTCCGCATGCCACGAAGTGAAGTGTCCGAACGTCATAGGGCGGGAAGCTGGGTGTGGGTGGTGGCGAAGAGTCGTTTGGAAATTTGGTAGAGCTTGAACCGGCCCCCCCACAAAGTGGGGGTATTGCCCGCCTCCTATGAAAACCCTGGCACTGGTGAGAACGGAGTGTCCCCACGTGCTAGTAATTGTTGTTGTTGTTGTTGTTGTTGTTGTTGTTGTTGTTGTTGTTGTTGTTGTTGTTGTTGTTGTTGTTGTTGTTTTTTGTTGCTGTTGTGGTGGTGGTGGTGGTGGTGAGTTGTTGTGGTTGTGGTGGCGGCGGTGGTGGTGGTGGTTGTGTGGTGGTTTGGTGGTGGTGGTGGTGGGTTGAGGTGGTGGTGGTGGTATTGGTGGTGTCGGTGATGGTGGTGGCGTGGTGGTTTGTGGTGGCGTTGCTGCTGGTAGCGGTGCTGGTGGTGGTGGTGGGTGGTGGGTGGTGGGTGGTGATGGTGGTGGTAGTTGTGGTTGGTTGTGGTGGTGGTGGTCTGGTGGTTTGTGGTGGTGGTAGTGGGTTGTGGTGATGGTTGTGGTGGCGGCGGCGATGGTGATGGTGCTGGTAATGGTGCTGGTAATGGTGTGGTGTTTTTTGGTGGTGGTGGTGGTTGTGGTGGGTTGGCGTTTCTGGTGGTGCTGGTGGTGGTCTGGTTGTGTTGGCGTCTCTTGTGGTGGTTGTGTAGCTGTTTGTGGTGATCGTGGTGGTTGTGGTGGTGGTGGGTTGTGGTGGCTGTGGTGGTGGTGATTGTGGTGGTGGTGGTGGTGGGGTGGTTTGTGGTTATGGTGGTGGTAGTGGTGGTGTGCCACTGTGTTTTGGCTTTGGGTCAGAGTTCTCATGGATGCATCTTGAGGTCTCGTCAGAAGGGTCTCGGGGGCGTCTGAGGAGCATGCGTGAAGCCTCGTGGACCTTCCAAGGGCCTCTCGGTGGCTTCTGGGGGGCGAGGGCTCGACATGGCGATTTGTGTGTTCCCTCTGCGGCCTCTGGGCCCTTTCTGGCAGCCGTCGCTGCGTCCCTGTCGTCGGCACTGCTGGCCGCCGCCAGCGCCAGCGCCAGCGCCAGCGCGGGGGGGGGGAATAGTGCCCCCCCCCCCTCCCTGGGCTGCCTCTGGTCATCGTTGTTGCGTCCCCGCCTTCGGCGCTGCTGGCGGCCGCCGGCGCCGGCGCCGGGCGGGGTGGGGGGGGTTTCAAATCCCCTTTGGGAGGGGGGAGGGTTCGGGAGGGGGGCGGGTTTTGAGGGGGAGGGGGGGGCCCCTGGTTTTGATCGACGGCGCCGAGTGTTGGGGGAGGGCCCACCCCCTGGTTCGAAACGCGCGGCCGAATGTTCCCAAGGCAAGCGCCCGTGAAACGCGCTCTCTCGTATGTCTGTATGTTTGTATGTATGCAGGTTTGTCTTTCTGTCTGTCTGTATGTATGTATGTATGTGCGTATGTCTGTATTTATGTATGTACGCATGCATGCATGCACGCATGCACGCATGCGTGCATGCACGTATGCATGTACGCATGTATGCATGTATGCACGTATGCATGTATGCATGAATGCATGTATGCATGTATGCATGTATGCATGTATGCATGCATGCATGTTTGCATGTATGCATATATGCAGGTATACATGTATGCATGTATGCATGCATGCATGTATTCATGTATGTATGTATGTATGTATGTATGTATGTATGTATGTATGTATGTATGTATGTAATGTAGGTATGCATGCATGCATGCATGCATGCATGCATGCATGCATGTATGTATGTATGTATGTATTCATGTATGTCTACATGTATGTATGTAGGTATGTATGTATGTATGTATTCATGTATGTATGTATGTATGTATGTACGTACATACGTATGTATTCATGTATGTACGCATGCATGCATGCACTCATGCACGCATGCATGCATGCATGCATGTATGCATGTACGCATGTATGCATGTCTGCACGGATGCATGTATGCATGCATGTATGTATGCATGTACGCATGAATGCATGTATGCATGTATGCACGTATGCATGTATGTATGTATGCATGCATGCATGCATGCATGCATGCATGTACGTATGCATGTATGTGTGTACGTATGCATGTATGTATGTACGTATTCATGTATTCATGTACATATGTATGTATGCATGCATGCATATATGCATGTTTGCGTATATGCATGTATGCATGTATGCATGTATGCCTGCATGCATGTATGCATGTATGCATGTACGCATGTTTGCATGTATGCACGTATGTATGCATGCATGCATGTATGTATGCATGCGTGTATGTATGTATGTATGTATGCATGCATGCATGCATGCATGCATGTGTGTATGTATGTATGGATTCATGTATGCATGTATGTATGCATGTATGTCTGTATGCATGCATGCATGTATGTATGTATGTATGTTTGTATGCATGTATATTCGGTACATATATATATATGTATATGTATGCATATGTACACATGCATTTGTGTATATATATATATATATACACATGCGCGGATCGAGGAGGGAGGGGTGGTGTGCAGACAGGGAGGGATGACGGGAGGAGTAGGAACGGAGGGAGGTGGGGAACAGGGGGGGGGGTGGGCGGACCTGTTTTGGCGCTGGCCTGGCTTTGCGAGCGGGCCCCCAGGTCAAGAAGGCCCTCTCCGCCTTCTTCCCGTCGCGCCGCACACAGGCTTTGGGCAGGGGTCGGCAGGAAGCTTGGTTCGGTCCTATGCACTGGCATCTGCTGGAGTCAGCCAGAGCCAGGCGCGGTGATCTACCTCCGATTCGATTCGGTACGATTCGCCTGCGATCCGATCCGTTTACGATCCGATCCTATTTAGCGATTCGGTCCAACTCGGGCCTGCAAGACAACTCCTCAACATGTCCGCCTTCGCTTCCGTTCCCGTCTTCCTCTGTTTTTTTTGCCTCGCGTCATTCGGCAGTTGTGACGCCTGACTCGACGTGTTTGATTCATCATGTGTTTGCCCATGCGCTTATGACACCAGGGTAGCACGCGTGAAGCAAATTATGGTAAGGATGGGGCTATGAACTCGGGCGTGAGTGATGTTCGCTGGTGGTGTGGGAGGTCAGTTCTCCCCGCCGGGCATCAATGATGAAGCTGGGTGCCCACGGGGACAATGCGCTTATTCTGGTGGTCGATTTCCATCCATCGTCTGATTGTTTTCTGTTTTCGCTCTTGCCTCCACCCTCTCAGCTGACGTTCCCCTCAACAATATCAGCGTCAGTGCCGCTGCTTTCCATCTCCGCCTTCGTTGCTGTCTTCTCTCGCATAGTCGCTTGCGTCCACCGCCAATCACGTACTTGTCCTTACCCTCATCCGCCCCCCGCCACGGTCCCAAACCGTCCTTCCCATTTTTTGTTTCCTCTCTATCTCTCCTCCCTTCTCCTCTCTTATCCCTCTGTACCTCATGATTTCGTCGTAGCTTGTCCTCGTGTTTCGAGTGTCGTCCACCATGCGTGTGTTGACATGCGGTGCCAAATCTGATATCCAGTCGGCGACCTCAATAGGTAAGTCCATGGCGTGGGCGACAGCAGAAAGCAGCTGATCAAGGTGAACTTGATTCACATCGCGTTCTTGAGACAGGCGTGTGATCGCACGACCCGTGTGCGGGGGTACCGAAATCGCGGTGTAGTGCCATGCGAACCCGCCCACTTGGGCCGTGCGTGGCGATCATTGAGCAGGCGCGATTCATGTAGGGCGTGAGTGCCGAATTGGTGCGTTTCAAAAAGGGCCTCGACTTCGACGCGTCTCGCCTTCGGTGGAAGCCGGCGGAAGGCCAGCGGAAGCCAGTGGAAGTAAACCAGCGGTGGGTCCATTGGTGGAAGTCGGCGGGAGCCCGGTGGAAGGCGGCGGAAGTGGATGCGAGGCGTCAACATTTTTTTTAAGAACCCAGGTTTTTTCGGGTCGGCCAAGATTGCGGGGCAGCGCTCTGCGGAGCCGCTTACGGAGGCCGTGGGTGGCGCTCCCAAGGGGGCGCGATCCAGGAGAGGAGCGGACGTGCGGGTAGCGTGGGCCAGCACGCGCGGCAGCAGGGAGCATGCAGAAATCGGCAGCGGCAACCGCGGGACCGCGGAGGGCTTACGTGTACACGTGTCTTCGCGCTCTCGTCGGGGAGCCGTGGACGTGGTCGTGTTCTGGCGGCGCAGCAGGGCAGCAGACGCAGGCAGGGAGCCGCAGGGGCAGCCGCCGATCCGGGCCGCCAGTGGGTGGGTGGGTCGGGGGAGGCAAGCTCTTCCGCGACAGGGAGGGAGAGCGTACTACTTTCCATCGAAGGAGAAAAAACTGCATAAGCATAAACTTTCGACTCTCCGCGCGGATTTCATGGATCTGCGCTGCCTCCCCTGGCGGCGTCGCCCCTGGCGCGCTCCGCGTGCCAAGAAGGGGGTCCAGCGCAGATCCAAGAACTCCGCCCAGAGCGTCGAAAGCTTATGTTTGTGCCGTTTTTTTTCCTCTGGTCCAAGGGACGGTCCGATGAGCGGAGGCCCTGCAGGTCAGATTTCGGACGGGCGTTCCGAATTCTGAGAATGTCTGCAGCTGGGTGAACCCCTTACGGGGGTGTCTGATACCCCAGCGTCGTGTCTCACCCGCAGGGGTGGGCTTCGCAGGTGGTCACCTATAGGAGGTTCCTGGAGGCTGCGGAGGCAAAACGAAATGCCGAGATCGCCAGAACAGCTTGATTCTCGATCCTGTGCCCCCTTACTCAGATCTCCGAGGTCGTTTTTTGTTTTTTGTTTTTGTTTTGCTTGTTTTGTTTTTTCTTTCCCCCCTCAGCGTGGACCCCCAGAGGCCTGGACCCTTCCCTCAGGACCCGTCTGTTTTTGTTGCGTGAGTCGTCTTTTGACGGCCCCCGGGGCTCGGGTGGGCACCCGCAGGCCGACCACAGCCGGAGGCCTCCCGCCGTGATTCTTGCCTGTTCACGACGATCAGTATCGTTCATCTGATCCCCATCCCCATCCCCGTCCGCATCTCGAGCCCCACTGTCTCACCACCTCAGTTGGGGATGGATGCCCCTCGAAACCCGAAGAGAGCAGCCTGTATCCCCATCCAGGGGGGTAAATCGGCCAGTGGGGCCCAGCCCACGCTGGTGGGGATGGGGATCGGTCAAACGATGCTCAGACGAGAGGAGGTCTCGGCACGCTCAGCTGGGTGGGCCGGGGCATAGAAAAAAAGGGGAGCGGCAGCGCAGAACAGGTGATGTTTTTTATCCGTTGTTTTGCCAATCGGCGTGGGCCCCCAACCCCCCCTCCCCCCCCATGGAGTAGATCTTGGCTGTTTTTAGCGCCTGTTTCGAGCAAGGTGGAGTCCCTCCCCCATAGGACAATCAGAAAACGCTCACCAGGAAAGTAGCTACGCCCAGGCCCCTCTTCGGGTGCATCTTGGCCCGTTCTTCGAGGCGGATCCTGCCGTGGCGACGAGAAGCCTCCAGGCCAGCAATGACGAACAAGGTCAGGGAAGGCCGCCGTCGTCAGGATGCAGCTCCTGGAAGGTGGAATTCAGCATCGGCGCTTGTACATCTATGGTCGGGATCTTAGGGGAACGTAGATGATACATTAAAACTCGGAGGTCCGCGCGGATTTCTCGGATCTGCGCTGGACCCCCCTCCCTGGCGCGCGGAGCGCGCCAGGGGCGGCGCCGGAGGCGCCGCCAGGGGTCTCCAGCGCCGATCCGAGAAATTCGCGCGGACCTCCGAGTTTTTATGTTTATGTCATTCTTCGTTCCCTTAGATCTGGCCCAATCAGGATTAGTAACGCTGATCCCGCTCGGCCCAGCTTCATCCGACGGCTCAATTTGGGGCGTGATCCGCGCTTCTCTGGCTCGATGGCTCCTTCGTCGGCGTCGGGCTTCGCAGGCCCTCCTCGTTCTTACGACGGCCTCCCAGCAGGTAGGGTGCCTCTCCTGACCGTCTTCTTGCCCGGCCCCCTTCGGACGGGACCAGGACGAGGATGAGTCCAGAGAGTTCCAGAACGCTCTGAGAAGGCTGCGGCGCCCGAGACATCCTCCAGAGCCGCCGGATCTCAGAGATTCTCGATTTCTCCTCGCCCGAATTTGTCCTCGTCCTGGCTCCGTCTTGCCCCTGAGACACAGAGAGCTGCGCCCAGGCTGGGCTCGCAGGGCGCGGCGGGGCGGGCCCTCGCGCGGGGCTTCGCCCTCGGGAGCGGGCAGGCCTCTTCGTGTTCTTCGTCGCCACGCGCGCCCTGCATCCGCTGCTCATCGACGCCTCGAAGGAGGCGCCGCCCTCCGGAAGCAGGGCGATCGGGGGCATCGCTGTGTGTGTGTGTGTGTATGTATGTATGCGTGTTGGTTGGTGTGCGTGCGTGTGTGCGTGCGTTGTTGCGTGCGTGCGTTGTGGTGCTGTGGGTGTGGGTGTGGATGTGGGTGTGGGTGTGGGGTTTGGGCGTGGGTGTGGGTGTGGGTGTGGGTGTCGGTGTGGACGTGGGTGTCAGCGTGGGCGTGGGCGTGGGCGTGGGCGTGTGATAGGCTCGTCTGTTCCGGAGGTTCGAGGTTTCCGGGCGCTTTCGTCCGGCCTCGGCGGCTTTCCAGCCTCGGCGGTGCGTTGCAGCTGCTCTGGAGGTGCCTGGAGCTTCCGAGCGGCCGCCCGAGGCCCGAGTTGTGGCCTGAAGGCTGGAGCTCCGAGTCAGGGGCAGCGCCAGGGCGGGATAGGCTGAGGGGGAAGGCATCGGTGTCTTGAACTGTGTTTTCCGCCTCTCGTCTCTGGAGCCGCCTCCTCCTCTCCTCCTCTTCCTCCTCCTCCTCCTCACCCTCCTCCTTTTCCTCGTCCGCATTTCCCTCTTGCCTTCCCTCTTCTCCCCCTCGCCCCGCCCTCTGATTCCTCCTCGATCCTCTTCCTCCAGGGGTACGACGGCTCCCCCAGCCCTTGACTCCACCGCACGCTCCTCCACATCCCTGGTCATGCCAACTCGCCTGGGCATCGTTTCCGAATGGAGGTTGTGGCGGTCTACACTTCTGGGCCCCGAAATCCTCGGTCCTCATCTTCGTCCGAAGGGATCGACGAGCGGGCGTGCTCGAGGAGACTCTGGGCGCAGACAGCCCCCCAGGTAGTCTGGGCCGGCCTCACCGGGCTCCCCCCCCGGGTAGTCCCAGCTGGCCCCGCTAGGGCGCCCGAGTGTCTCAGCACCCTGGCGACGCCTCCAGCGGCGCAGCTGGAGCACTCCGCGCCATGGGGTCGAGTTGTCGAGGCAGCCCTGGGCTGCTCGGGGGGCCCGTCGGGGACAGCTGGGGCTACCCAGGGGGGCGTGTCGAGGCCGGCCAGGACCACTACCGCGCGCAACCCGTGCGCACGGTAATCCTGGCTGGCCTCCTTCGAGCTGTCCGTGCACACTCCGAAGCCTCACCAAAGACATTGTGTAGCCTTCAGGTCAGCGCGTGCTCGGCATCAGGCTAAGTAAAATAATACAAGTGATAAGAAAAAAGACGAACACTAAGTAGAGTAATAATGCAAATGAGAGAAATAACGATAAGACGAATCAGTATGCATACCACTATAATCATATACAGACGCTTCATAACACAAAGACGAACACGCTCTAATATTATTACTACGACGAAGATAATACACATACTGCCAACACTACTAAATATAATGCTGCTGCTACTACTCAGCA